TGCGTGGAGCTCCGTATCACGCTGCATTTTAAGCCCGCCCACTTTCAAATAAGTCCTATACTGATTACAAACGACACACACACACAGGCAAAGACATAAGTCTCAGAGTCTCAGCTAGATCCGTTCTTTGAACATTTATTGGCTATATTTAATGGATGGATTTCCGTCAGTCAGTCACACGGAGCGAGTGAAGCTGTCATCCCAACGCACACAAACACACTCACACTCCAACCGACACATCAAGGTTAATGTAAGGACAGCACAGAAGTATGGGCAGGAAAGAATTCGAGATGGAGGGCGGGAAGTGCATAGGAGCTCCGGCCTGGCAGCGCGAGGAAGAGCCCAGTGGTGCAGATGGAGGCAGCTCGGGTGAAGGGGGGGGTCTCATAGCGAGAGGGAGAGGTATTGAAATGTGAACCTCTGATTAGGTTTGACATTTAAGAAGGCATATTTCGCATGCACTTACCCAATTACAAATGAGACCTACACAGCCCATACGTGCGCGCGTGTGCGCAACTCGACTTGATCCGCGGCTGGAATGAATTGGGCCCCCGCTACCCAACAGATGAAGAGCGAGGCAGAGCGAGCGAGTGTGTGTGTAAGTGTGTGAAACTGCTTCTGGCAGCGATTAGGGGCCTAGCAGGCAACTGAAAACTTTTAGTCTTAAAATGGCAGGTGGACTCTGTCTCGCAGTGATTTTATGTGTCCACCCCCCTCCTCTCTCTCCCTTCTGGTTCTGTCTGTTAACCCCCTCCCTGTCTCCAATTAGACTCCTGCTTCTGCCAAATCAATTCCAAGCTGTTACTTACCCTCCGAAACTGAAATGCTCCCTTTAGCCAATTCTGTCCATATTGTTTCACCCATCAGGCGTGGAACTGAGCCCGGCCGAGTCCCATTATTATCCCACCGCTCTAAATAGGCTTGGTTTCACGGCCTGATCGCTTTTGTCTGCGCGGGTACTGAAGCGGTCGCGTGCGCGCTTCCATTAATATTTTCCTCTGCTGCTTTCATCCACCGTCACGTCACCCGAAGGTAGCATCCAGTTCAGCGTGACTCCCATTTTGTGCACCAGTGGCCTTCCTGCAGCTAGTAATCTGTGACACCTTCATGGGAATAAACGACTGCTGCGTGATCCTGAAAGCTTTAACATTCGCAGCCATCATCACAACAACAACAAAAACAACAAGAGCAGCAGCAGCAGCAGGCGTCTGCCAAGTCCTCCAGGGAAAAATCCTTTCTAAGGACAGGAAGTGATGTGTTTCCGCTCCCTGCGAGCTACTTGGCAGCAGTGGTATTTATTTGGTGTAACAAGGCATTATTTAATCACGGCTAGCAAGCCGCAGGCTGAAGATACACAATGTTTTCTTATTTGCTGCCATAATTGTCTCGTTGATTCCTCTACATATTAAGGCTTCTATTGAGCATTCTGTTACAGATCTGAATGGGAAATGAAGTCTGTAAATAAGCGATCAATGATATCCTGATCATAATACACTGGATGCAGTTTTTGTGTGTTTTTTGCTGTCAAGTTCCTCTTTCGTTGATCCAGCAGGTTCAACTAATAGAACACACAGGGTTGTCGCTGCAGAAGCCTCCCTGAACTCTCCATCTTCCACGTTTTGGGCAGATCAAACCCAAACTGTGCCCAACACACGAGCATGTGTTGATGAAGTGTCCAGTAGGTCGATCGAAACACAGCGCTCTGCGTCCGTTGGCGAAACTCAAACTCACTTTGGGGATGAAGGGATGTTTTAAAGTAGACATAATTGTAGTGGGGGATGTGAAGCTCATCTGCCGCTTTCCCTCCTCCTGAACTGCCTCCCCAGACCTTTTCTTTTCTTTTTTCTACACCCAAAAAATATCCAGTCTTTCCTGTCTCCTCCTCTCTGAGCTCCTCTCCTTCCATTTACCCATCTTTGTTTTCATGAAGACTCCTTTACCTTCTTTCTCCCTTTGCTCTTCCTGCCGCTGTTAAACATACTCTCCCCCTCGATGCACCATCACTTTTCACATTCATCTATATTTTCATGAACCCACAATGAATCAGAGGAACGGGATTACATGGAAGATTGTATGAAACAAAAGAGAAAAGCGTGGCGGATGTCTCTGTAAGGCCCGGCCTTCGGCATTGTTTCTTCACATGTCACCCGATAATCCTTCTGTTTATGAAAGTACTGGATGCCAATTAAGGCTCAGCCACAAGGCGGGGAGGAACAGAGCTATCTGAAGGCAGCAGTGATATGTGACTGTCTTAAGACTATGTATGAAACCCATCAATTACAGTGACTTTATAATTAGCAGCCAGAGAACTGGTTTGGAGTTACTGGATGTTGACAGATTTACTGTTTATCTATCGTTTTGCATTCGGGAGGTCGTTGGTGTTGTGATTAGTCGAGTGTTATGTGATCCTGTGCGATAGTTACTCCAAAGCCATCCCCGAGAAACATTACACCGTATACTGGATAGAAATCCTTTTACTTTATGACACAATCAAAATGTCCAAAGACCAGAAATACCCCACGGAGACGTACCCCCCCCCTCTCCCTCCCCCTCCACCTCCCTCGATACGTCCTTCACCGGATGTCTTTGGGGCGAGTATTGGCCGATTCAGACCCAGGCCTCACTTGCGTTGGTGGTAATGATTAACTGTCACATTGGTCGTGTCTGTGGCATTGGGGCCATTGTGGTGTGTCGGGGCTAATTGTAGCTAGTAGCAGTAGTTGCTATGTGGTATGTTGTGGTGGGTTGCACCTAATTGTAGTTGATAGTAATGGTTCCAGTCTGTGTATACAGCCTGAAGCGGACAAAGGCTGTACTACAACACACACACACACACACACACACATCTTCTTCTTTCCCACATACTGGGTTCATGCAAGTGGTGCCCCAGCAGTATGCAAACAAACATGTGATGCCAGTGTAAATAGATGTCACTCTTATAATTTACCTTTCCGTTCCCGTCACCAAAGTCATTTCTAGTTTTCATCTTGTTGCTTTGATTAACTTTTAAAGTCACTGCTGAAATGATTCGGGGCAGATGGAAACACTGTTAGGTCAGTCAGTGCTTCTTACTGTAGGTCGGGATTTCGGCTTCAGCGCTTTACCACAAAGATCTGTAGTTTTCCACTGTGTGTGTGTGTGTGTGTGTGTGTGTGTGTGTGTGTGAATGATGAATTCTGACTGGGTGTGGTGAACATCAGATGAGATTTTCCTCTCTCCCTGCGCACACACACACACACACACACACACACCCACAGTGAGTGCCAGGGCTGGTCTAGGCGTGGGCCCTTTCAGACATAAATTGCTTTATTTTAATAGTTGTATGGTGGGGAAAGAAATGGTAAAATACTAGAAAAGGCTGTAGAGAGAAAATTGGATTGAACAAAGAAAGCAGCCCTGCCTCTGTCATTTCTCTACTCGCTTTCTCGTGTGTGCGTTTTATTTTCTCCTCTCTTCCTAATCCTCTAGATTACATGACAGGGTTGTTACAATATGTTGCTTAAATTTATTTGTGTTTGTTTGTGGTCTGTATTCAACTCCCTTTGTACTTATCTTTCTTCAAACGTGAGTGTGTGTGTGTGTGTGTGTGTGTGTGCGCGCACCGATTCTCTCGTGATTCTCTTTCACTGTTTGCGGTCTGCTATCAGTAAATAAAAACTAGTGTTTATCTCTCACGCAACAGCCACATGGTCGCACGCATGCTCCATCCGCTTCTAATTCACACACATCCTCAAAAAGGCATTACACACACACACACACACACACACACCACACACGCCCTACTTATATTGCATTGATCTAAAAGTGATCAGCTGTTGGCGTCTATCAGGCGTACTTTGGCTTTGACTGTTTACTACCGCTCACACATACAAACACAGCGCATGGGTCAATGGGTTGACTGTGTTTACAACTGAATATGAACGGCTACAAATAAACACACACACACACACACACACACACACACATGATTGCAAAAACCCATCTCTCTGTCATGCCGTGTTGTGAACAGAGTGACCACAATTGTTCTCTTTTCAAACAAAAGAAACATGGGTTTAACCTAAAACACATGGTTGGTTATTTGATGGCTTTGTGGAGCGATTACAAGGGAAGGAGGGAAGAGATGGTGGGACAAAGCAGGAACCGAAAGAAATCTTTAATGATGGAAATACTCAAATTATCGTAGCAATGATTCTTACATCTCAAAGAGGACAGTGGAGATCAAAACGTGACTGAAAAGTACCTTTTGAGTCTTGTTATGTTGATTCTAAAATGAGAGATTTAAAATGGAAAAGAAGAGCCGAGATTGAAAAATGAGAATAAAGGGTCAAGAGGTGACACAGAGGGCAATGAGAGATGAAAAAAAAGAATGAAAGGCGCGCAGAAAGAGATGCAAGAAAGCAGGCGAGAGGGGATCGCTGGAGGGGATGAATTGCAGTCTGCCGCCTCCCCTCATCCATCTCTCTGATACGGCCAGTAGGGTTTGATGTGGTTGTCTGTCGTCCATTCTCCCCCCTCTTCCCGCTCCTCTCTCTCTCCCTACCACCCCTACTTCGCAGTCCCTCAGATATGGTTTTGGGTTTTGATGTGGTCCGGGCACAGTTTCCCACGGATGGTTTCCATAACGATAAAAACGATTCACTCCCGTTTGAGAGAGGAAAGAGAAATAAAGTTGCACTTTAGGACGCAACAAACATCCCGAACACACATCCCTAAGAAACCTCTCACAGCTGAGATGTTTCTGATGCTGGGGCTGCTCTTTGACGAGGTCCGCCGTTGAGCATCGTCACACACATTTCTAAATCAAATCAAAGCTATTCTGTACACAGACATCATTGTCAGAAAATGTTATTAGCGTGTGTGTGTGTGTGTGTGTGTGTGTGTGTGTGCATGCAATCCGCTGTAGATTATCTGAGACACTTTGTATCTGTTAATGTCAACATATCAGTCAACGATGCAGCAAAAAACAATTTATTCTCCCCATGTCTCTTTCCAATTCTCAGAGATGGTGAGGAAGAAGAATCCCCCTATCCGGAGTGTAGGAGGAGAGGAGGAGGAGGAGGAGGAAGAGGGGAGGAGGCCAGCGGGAGAAGAGGAAGAGGAGGGAGAGGAGGAGGGGAGAGTCGGAGCGGAGGCCGAACGAATAAACCGTCCCTCTGAACCAGAATCCTCTGACCGGATCAGGGGCGATGAGGAGCAGCAGGAGGAGGAGGGCGAGAGCGAGTGCGCATCCTCATCCATCTCTCCCTTGTCTGTTGGGGAGGCCTACAGCAACGAGGAGCGAAGGGGGAGGAGAGAGAGAAGGGGAAGAGCCAACCACGGGGGAGCGGCGTTAAGTGACAGACTCGAGAGCCACTCGGAGGTCGAGGACGGTGAGAAGGGGTCAGATGAAGGAGAGAGGAGGGAAAGAGGCCGAGGGGAGGCAGATCACCTCGCTGCTCATCTCCTCTCCGGCCCCCACCACCTCCCCCGACAGGAAGCAGGGGAGGAGTCGACAACTGACACCCCGCCACTTTCTTCCAGCCCCTCTCCTAAACTGCAGGACTTCAAGTGCAACGTGTGCGGCTACGGTTACTATGGGAACGACCCCGCCGACCTGGTGAAGCACTTTAGGAAGTATCATCTGGGCCTGCACAATCGCACACGGCAGGATGCCGCCCTGGACACGCACATCCTGGCCCTCCACAACATGGCTCCCCAAAACACGCCTCTAGGTAACTCCAGCGCTCGACTTGTAATGATGCTCAAGGTGTGAATTAGATTGGAGTTTGAAATAACGCGGATCCAGAGCCTTAAAACCACATTTTTTTTAAATTTTAGTTTTGTAAAGCTTATTGATGTATACTCCAGGTCGACCGGTTCCCTGCAACAACAACAACCTGCTGATTGTCGATCTGAATGTTAAGTTTCTTCCTGAGAGGTCACACATGTCCTCTGATTGTTGTGCCCCTGGCAGTCTGACCTCCCCTTTGTTTATCCGCTTCGAACCGCTTCTTGTGTTTTCTGCTCCCAGATGTACAGGCCGGACAGGGGCAGAGGAACCAAGCCAAAGAGTCGTGGAAGACCAGACCAGATGTGCACATTCAACAGCATAGGGCCGTCATGATGAACGGCACATATGACGTACAGGTGAGCACTCGCCGTGGTTAATGAACACAGGTTCTCTTGGTGTGACGGCATTGAATAAATGGGAAGGAGGGTAAAGTGGTCAGTGATCAACATTCTTTTGCAAATTTCATGTCATGGTCCAAGAAAGCCTCAATGACATAAGATATGCAGAGGATACAGTGCTGCCCCCTTTTTTACTAAGCTCGTCTCAGCCAACAGAGAATTGGGAATTTAAATATCTCAGAGAGAGAAGGTTTTATTTTAGTTTTATTTTGGTTCAAGAACCTCTTTAGAGATGTGCAGCTCTGAATGCATCCCTTTTACATATTTTGCATCTGCTTGTCATGAATACAAATGTTCTGTTAGGAATCAGGGATCAGGATTCTGTTTTGTTAGAGAACATTTTTAAAATATTGTGTTCTTTCAGTAGTGTTTATTTCAAATGTGCTACTGCAGACGGTACTTGGCAAATTCATTAAACCTTTACAATCATTTCCTGCACATTGTTTAATGCTTGGGAACTCTCAAAATGAGGAACCAATTAAACGCTAGCACCAACTGGTAATACATCTAGGCCCATTGTTTAACTGAGCAATTTATTGGGTCGAACAATCTGCGAATGATTTGTGCCATAAGGTGTGTGTTATTTGGCAGTGAGGCATTGTGGGCCATGTTATGACATTTTATAGACTGGCCTAGAAAGACACTGACAAATATTGCACCTGGCAACACACAGGTGGACACACACACAGACACACAAACGGTCTACTTGGTATTGTGTTGTATAGTGTTGTACATGATGGCTAATAAATCAACATTCATTGCTCATCCCTTATATTCAGCACTAAATTTGCATAAAAAGGACAAGGTCCTTTATCGGACGGGAGCTACTGTGCAGGATAAAAGCAGAAATTTAGAAAATTCATATTCCTTCAAGATAAGTGCCGTCCATGTACTGAAAGATGATTCAATTATACCTCAATTACTGTAATGATATTCCATCATGCCACATTAAAATGTCAGTCAGTAATTTGCACCTGCAGTCTGGACATCAACAGATGAGACAATCAATTCGGGTCTTGGTGATTTAGTTACAGTGAAACAGCCGTAGAGTTTGTTGAGAACAAAAACCTGCCAAGTGTCTACTTAACATTGTACACAGTTTAATTACGTAGATATTGAAGCCTCAGCCAAGTGTATTTATATGTTTATCTTTGCTCTGAAAATGTTATTTGAAAGCATGCGAACACAACATTTATTGCCTCGTGTAAACTCATGCAGATCTTTCGAGCTCCTTTTTAATAGCTCATTTCAATTGAATTAGATTAGATATAACTTGAATTAACTAAGTTATCTTTCGAGGGCGAAGTAGAAGTGAAAAACCTTTGACAGGCCATTATTTGTAAATGAGGAAACATTGAGATCCTCTAATGTGAAGTGTGCGCATGCATTTTATATACTTTGTTGAATAATTAGTTGTATCTGATTTCAGTGTTTCATGAGTCCAGAAGCGTTTGTCTCATCATGGCATGTGATTTCATGAGAAAAAATATTCACAATGCAATGAATATTATTGAATAGAATTTAAGACAACCTTCCAGAAAGGTTTTCTCCCCTAAACGAAGCTGTGAAGGCTCAGTTTGTGGAGGCTCGCCCCCGGGCATCTCCTCACCACGTGGCCTGTGTCTCTGCGGCAGGTCAGATGTTTAGCCCGCTAGTCGACGCATCGGCGATCCTCCCGACCTTTAATTAAACAGCGAGCGCGGAGCCGACGCCAAATAGCCTCTCACCTGGGGCTTTCGTAGGAAGCCTCCAAAATCTGTGTGTAGACGAGGCCCGAGGCTAAAGACGTGCCGTGTTAAATAATGGAGCATTCTCAGAGGCCCGTGTGGGCGTCACGGGGGCCCACAGTTGTTGCTTGTAATTGTACGTTTTTTTTCCCCTTGGTCTACTACAGTTATTGGTACACTTGCACAAGATTTAGGACTTTTGTGTGAACAGTACAGCTTTGTCTGGAATGTTTAAACGAGTTGATTTAATAAACATGTAGATTTTTCAAACTGTTTATGTGTGTATGAGAAATTGTCGAGGAGTTTCATTTCACTTAAATCAGGACTCTGTAATGGCCGCAAGTCACGTAATGGACATACACACACACACACACAGTCAGAAATAGAAAATCCGGTGGGTTTAAGTCGTCATCATGGAGTGAAAGTGAAAATATATATATATTGAAAAAAAAACCCAATGAAAGGGCCCTCTATTCTCTCCATCCCTCCTTGCTCACTTTTTCTCTCTCCCGCCCACGTTTGGAAAATTCCATGTTGTCATTTGCTGAGGTGAGATTCCCTGTCAACCAATGACATTGCGGGGAAAAAGCACTGAGAGATGGAAGAGGAAAGGAGAGTAGGGAGCTGAAGGGACCGCTAGTAGGAAGCCTCTGAAACCAGTAGTTCTAATCGACTGTTAGGCTGTGTAATCAAACAGCTGTCAGACACATTTAACTTTCTTTTTCTGCCTCTCTTCTGCAGTTGTCTTCCTCATCATTTGTCTTTGTCTTTCCTTCACCTTCAACTCAGCTCTGCCCTCTTTGTTTGCTCACTCTTTTCTTACTCCAACTCCCCTTTGCTTTGCTCTTGCTTCTCGATTTGCTTTTCATCCATCTGTGGCCTCTTTCCTCCGCCTTTCCCTCAACGTGTCCCACTTGTCCTCGGCCTGTCTTCTCTCCATTTTCCCTCCCTTGTTCCTCTCTGTGTCTTTCTGCCATAATGACTTGATGTTTGGCTTGTCTCTAATTGCCTGGGCCTGGTCCGTGGGACGTGATGATTGGATGATTGCTTTTATGAGATCACACACAGTAATAGCCCTCATTTAGCCTTCTGAAGTAATTCTCTTCCACCAAGCTGAAATGGACCATTTCACATTTTTATTTTACTATTTGCCCTGTTTTTTTTTTTTAGCATGTATAAATGTTTTTCTCTGGCAATAGCTGACAGTTATTATCATTGTTATTGTCCTTGACACTCAAAGAGGGGGAGGTTTATTTACCAAGATCTAATTGCAAAAAACTGAAAACAAATTATATCTCCGTGTTAGTATCCCAAAATAACATAATTAGGACCTAGATGGAGGCATTCATTAATGAATAGAATATTTATTGGGAGTTTTCAACCTCGTATAAGTCCTAAAAAAACCCAACATAATGTGTAAAATTATTTTATAATAATGATTGAAATAATTATAATTTCCATTGCAAAAATCCAGCTGAATGCCCTTTTATGAAATGTGAAATTATGAAAGCGTATGTCTTTGCTCACTAAAAATGGTGCTTACCAGTTGCATTGCATTCTTGCCAAACCTCCATAACAAGACTGCCCCCAGTCAGCACCGATCCACATATCCAAAAGAAACCAGTCCATTTCGTGCAGTAGGCCTAATGTATGTCAGCCCAAGACTTGCCAAGTTGCCGCCTCACCGATATAACAAGCTGCACAAAATAATCTCCTTCAGTCAAGGAGCTGAACTAATAGAAAAGCAGGCTGCTGGCTCGGTTATAACAAATCATGGCTCGTTGCATGCCACAATAGAGCCTGATATGATAATAGTTGGTTGGTTAGAAATGAATGACCTTTAATTGTGCCAGCTACATATAGAAAATGATGGATTGTGTTTGTTTTAGCATGAAGCATGGATTTAATATCTCCCGCATAGCAATTAAAAATGACAATTTCATTAGATTTTTGTAATTATGTTTAATCCCCTCACTGTAATGTATAAGGAAAGAAAAAAGGTGGGTTCTCAGGCAGAAAACAACGCTGTTACTACATTAAAAAGCTTATTTTGCACCCCTTTTGATCGTTGTGTGGTCCAATCCACAGTGTGAGGCTGACGTCTGAATTACATATGGGCTTTAAAGTAGTCCATGAACACTAAAAGTAAAATGTCCTTAAAGGTCACCAACTTCTGACCTAAAAACAACAACTTTTGCAAAGTTTCAGGTAATACTACACTGTTGATTGTTGGTTCGTCCTCTTGCATCCATAATTAGTCTTACTGCTATTTTTTCTCATATGAATAATGGTTTAATTTCACCAATGGAAGTGCACCCCACTGTAGACACATTTGCAAAATAAGAAGGCTCAGGGTTCGGTACAGTGCAGAATTCATTTGTTCAAGACACCTTTGTTTTTACATTACATGTCAGTCTGTCATCCATTATTATAAGTATAAGTGTCTAAATCCAGACCCAATTGGAGTAACGATTGTGGTCGTGTCGTTGCCGAGTCACGTTTCTTCATCAAGTTTGAATCATCTGTATAATATGTATATAATATGTAGCTTGTTAGGATTTCACTTACTGTTACTGTACTGTTAATTTATATTGCACACATTTCATTTCATTTAAGTTTTTCTTTTACAACCTGCTCAGTTTTGCACTTTTCCTCCTTACCTCATTTCTGCCTTACCTCATTTTTATTTTTATTTCATGTACATTTATGTAAATATTGTATTTTTAATTTTATTTTAAAATTGGTCGGCTTTGCGGAAAGGCAAGGAAAAGAATGTTAATACACGGGGCGTGTGTATCTGACCATAAAAATCTTTGAATCTTGAATATGTATGATATTCAGAGATTGATTTTCACTCCCACCTTTAACAGAATCCTCTTTGCCTCTTTCTGCTTGTCGACAGGTGACGCTGGGGGGGACGCTGATTGGGATTGGCCGGAAGACCTCTGATTGCCAGGGGAACACCAAGTACTTTCGCTGCAAATTCTGCAACTTCACGTACATGGGCAGTAATTCGTTAGAACTCGAACAACACTTCATGTCCTCGCATCCAAATAAAGTGAAAAGCCCCTCGACCACGCCCCAGCTGGCCACCAATAACCTGGCAATGCACGACAACCAGGGGAAGGGAGGGGGTCTGATCCTGGACGGGGCGGAGAGAGTGGCGGTGCGAGCGGACGATGACTCTTTGGTCGGTTACTCCATCCCGGTCAGGGGGTCCCCAGATTCCTCGAGCTGGACTGGGGAGCCCGCTCGGGACGCTGTGCAGACGTATTATTGGTGCAAATGCTGCAGCTGGAGCTGTGAGGGGTCGGGAGGCTCGGCGAAGCTTTTAGAGCACTATGAACAAAGACACCGGATGACCGCGGGGGGTACGGTGAGCCCCGGCCACTCTACGCCTAGGGCGGTGGACGGAGAGAGGGAGAGAGGGGGGAGACAGGATGGGGGAGAGAGAAGCCGAATGTCATCCAAAAGCCGCAAAGATCCGTCGTCCAACACATCCAGCACCAGCCAAGGTAATGAAACGGAGAGAAAGTATGTCGCAGCGTGGTTCTGAATTTCTTTACATGCTTGGCCGCAGAAGATCAACTCATTATTTTTATTTCCTCTAGTACTATGATGACTTTTACTTATCTGCTGCTTCAAATACCCCCACCCCAATAGGTGGCCCTACTCTCTCTCGTCAACTGCGGAGCTTGATTCTACCATCGCAGGAATGGTCTTTTCAACAGGCCTTTGCGCTTTGTTTTTCTGCTCACAGGAGACCCCAACAGCAGTGATTCAGAAGCAGTCGTGACCAGTTACAACTGTCAGCTGTGTGACTTCCGATACTCGATGGCCCACAGTGCAGATGTGATCGTGGTAGCACCTTTGCTCCTGCACTACCAGCACAACCACTCCATCCACAGATGCTGCATCCAGCACTGCATGTACTGTCCGCAGGGCCTCTGTCAGCCACACAAGCACCTGGGCGAGGTGAGACACAAAGATATATTCAAATGTGGATTTGCTCTGTGTTTTGGGGGTTACTTGGCATTCGGGAGGAGAATTGCACTATTTTGCAAGCACAGAGATAAATACAAATGCAGTATATTAAACAAGTGTAAAGTTAATTGTTCCAATTTTCCAGCCTAGTTAAAATTCCCTTGCTTCGACTACTCCGCCCACCCTCGCCCCCGCCCTCCTTTGTGCCAGCTGCCAAGCGGTGCCGTTGCAGCTGTTAGAAATGAACAAAGAAAGAAATATGGGGTTTGGCTTCGTTAAGTGAATGATCCACATTCACACCGTGTCATCAAATCACAGCGGAAGAAAATAAAATGTTAAATTCTGAACTCCAGTTCAGTGATGACCAGAGCGCGCTTGTCTTCAATGAGCTGCGTCCGACTCCGTCCACACAGGTCTCTCACCCCTTTGCGTGTCGGAAGCCCAGCTGCCCGAAATGCTGTATCAAGTTCCCGCCGTCCACCAAGCAGCAGCAGCAGGACGCGGTCGGATCGAAACCTGCCGCCGCCAGCTCGCCCAGCATGACCCCTCATAATCCTAGAGGTGACCTCGCTGTGATTTCGGGATCGACTTTTTACGCCTCCAGCCCAGCCCACCCTGTTGTCACACAAGGTATTCAAGGTTACACTTCAAGGTCACACCTCATCTGCTTTATTGTGTCAATAAGATTCCCTTTGGTCTCGTGCCTCCTGACTGTGTCCGGCCTTCTCCTCTCTAAATCCAGGCGTCACCCACTTGTGTGACCAGTGTGCGTTTGCCACCACCGACATCGACGTGTTGCTGCAGCACTACGAAGGCTGCCACTCTCTGATCAACCTCAAGGGGGCGCCGCCAAACGTAAAGGCTGAGGAAGAGGCTGGCGGAGACAAAGAAGGGGGGAGAGGAGGAGGAGAGAGGGAGTACTCTTGTACAAAGTGTCATTTCATCACAGAGGTGGAAGAAGAGATTTTTCGACACTACAGGTAAGAGAAATTCGCATATAATGACACATTGAAGTCTGCTTTTTACTCAACGTAACAATAGAGACGCAATTGATATTTAAACATAACGCTCGCCAACTTTTCTAAAACAGGTCGCTGAATGTGAAACTTGATCGCCAGCTTTGATTTTTGTTTCTAAGTCAGGCAGAGGATGAAGTATTGCTTGTCGTGGATATTTTGACCGAGCGCGCTCATTTTCAGCATCTACCCATTTAAACAGAGCATACACCTTAGACATCCACACCTGGAAGCAACTCATTGATGTTCACAGATCTTTCACCACATAACTGAGTACCACGATACGTGTGATGAGCTCCACTTGACATGAACATTTAGTGGCTCTACACTAATAAGTTCAAACGCGCCGAGACAATTTCTCCTATTTACCGGAGAAATATAACGAATACTATTCTATATTGTTCCTCCAGAATTTTAACAAGCGGCCTTCCATCTTTCCTGTGACTCTCCTGTGCTATAAGTATACTCTAATATGTTGTACAACTTTGTATCCACTACAATCCAAAGCCTATAAAGCGTTGGGGAATGCTACTTGAATTATACTGCACAGGTTGTGAGTTAGTAAACAGACATTTTGAAATCGCTTTTCCGTTGTTACAACTATCAAAGTCTAAAAACTTTCATCTAATTGATTCACCAATTGTCATTCTGTGTCTGAAGTATTTCTTTAACAGCGGCCTTGAGGTGAGACGGGCAGTTTAGAAAAAAAGATTAAAAAGATTGCTGCAGGAGAACCAGAGATATCTTTTTATCCCCAACATGCCGCCTTGCAAACTACGCACAATGCTACTTGCCTGGCTACATTTCAGTCAGAGATTAGGGGGTATTTTATTAGTGGCTGCAAATGTAGCCTAGAGCCGCAGGCCTCAAGCAAAGATTAAAAGCAGACACCAAATGTCAGAGTTTTTGTTTCATTTTCAAAATCGTACTTTTCAGTTTTCCTCAACTGATGCAATTAGATTCCATGCAGCTCCTTCTGGAGACACAAAAGGCTTTATACAACTTAAATATGCAGCAGTACTCGCCATTACTTTTTGACAGACTTTGATCTGTGGTATCTGGGGTTCTGCTCTACTTCAAAATACTATTAGTATTTCTTTATTCACTATCCTTCCTGGAGCAGCTTTCTCCAAAAGAGATAAACCACTTTTTGGCCTCGCCATTTTTTGGGTGAGGGTCAGGCAACTGATGCTAAACAGTAAAAATGTTGTTTCTTTGTACTGTACATGTGTACCCTGTCTGCTCAATAAGACTGGCTCGGTTCCAAAGACATTTAAGAGCCCGAGGGCTCAGACAAGACTCCACAGCCGTGAAAACACGCATGCACATGTTCACTGGGCCGTTTGTGACATAAGTTTCGCTACAGAGAAAGAGAGCGAGACTAACGATGGAGACACCAACGATTGTGTGAAACATTTTTGTGTATATAAGTATTGATCTGGATTTCAGATCTGGATTGCTCATTAATACAGGCTCTCACACACACACAAGATTTAAAGGTGTGATTCATTTCAGGGGAGAGAAGATGGGTGAAAACGGGATGGATATAAAGGCAGAAAGCAAAGTTAAATGGAAAGCCAAGCCATTGGAGAAAAATCTAATAAAACTGAATATAGCCAGAAAGCTTTAGACTGCCACTAAAATCCACCAAAGCAAAATTCAGGATTGGCTTGTAGCTCGGGACAAAGAACCATTGTGTTTGGGGGAGAAAAGTTACGGCCTGAAAGAAACTAATCAATCTTCCTCCCAACTTTTACCCCCAAACCCTCTAAGTGAGGTTCTGGCGCGTGTGAAAGGCACAGGCACACAGCAGCTGAGAATGTGCACCATCCAGTATCATTACAATGCTGGTAATTGTTGGGCTATTCATGTTAAAGGTCTTTGGGTTTCAAAATCAGATGAAAGGAATTTACTCCACTTTCTAATCAAACGTGTAAAGCGTATTCATAAACTGTGCTCCGATTTCAAGCACCACGGGAATACGAATGTGTCTCGATAGACGTGTTATGTGTTGACCTCGGAGCACGTCGGGTTCTACTCCTAATCCTACCCCAGGGATTGTTGTTCTGGAGACTTAGTTGATATGCACGTGGGAAATGTGTGCGTTATGCCTGCAGCCTGCTCACCAGTCACAGATTAACTCCCTTTATCCACCTGGGGAAAGCAAACCAGATGCAAAGCTGCTTATTTAATGCTATTAACATGTACATAGGTCAACAACAACATGGTTCATTGCTGTAAAACGAGACCTTTAGAGACCGTTATTTTACATTTGATGCCCTTGTTGCTATGAGCGATCCGTGCTTGGCCCCCGTTCATGGTTGTGAGGGAAATACAGCTGACCTTTCTTTAACACAGTCTTCTTATTGATTAGTTTTCTTTTACTACAGATAAATTGTGGGAAAATAATGCAGTCGCTTCTCATACTTTTGGGATGCCAGCTCACTGTAAAAAATAACTTTTTATTATTTTTCATAGATAGACAGAGTTAGCTGTTTAAACTTGTACAGTGTACAAACTTCATTAGGGCCACTGGGTCTTTGGGCAGCACCTGGAGACATTCGAGTCCAGTCCTTCAGCCACACAATAATTGTCACACGTTTTGATATGACCTCTAGGCTAGTTCGATCCGATACAGTATGTATACATATTACAAATAATACAGGTAGTGTATTAGCTCTGTAAAAGAATACAGTAAGGTTTTTTTTTTCCTGCATCCTGTTCTCAAGATCAATCCGCATGAGAGCGACTTGAGCAGATAAATGACAAATTGAAAGATTTTACATGTTTGCAATGAAATTGTTGGCATGATTATATTCCACTGATATAAAGCACAGCCAATGCAATGTGGAAGCATTGTGAAGTCACTGGTGAGAGAAACTCAAAGCAAAAACAACAGCAGTGTTGAGCAAATTGCTGCTTTTGGATGAGATACGAGTGAACTAAGTGGAAAAACTGTTCATCCTATTCTGAGTCAAAGCTGCACACTTGACTTATTTGCCAAATAATTGTCCAACTCAACTCCTACCTCTCACGCATGCCAAATACATCAGTGAGACTTGTTTTTCTGTCATTTGCTTTAAAAGCCGTACCCTCCCAGGATAATCAGTCAGTACAACAGTCAAATAATTTGATTTTCTCAGTCCAAACAAAAAATATTCGATTTGTTCTACTAAACATGTGTTAACGTGTTTCTAGTTTTATATTCTGGCAACTTTCTTGCTATCATCTTTTCTATATTTCTAAATTTGAAGCAGCTGCCCATAATGCGCCCACCAAGAGCCCCACAAACAGGGGTCCAAGTCCTCGTTACAGATGCTCCATTGATTCTGCTTGGTTGGCCCCCACAAGAAGCATCCAAACAGGTTCCTGAGCCAGGAAACAGCCGGTGCCGTGTATGGTGTATATGGTGTCTAGCATATTGTGTCGTGTAGGTTGCTGGTCAGTCAGGGCCGTGCCAACAGGAAACCGTGGTGGTTTGTCGATGGGTGATTCATTTCTTGTCATTCAGATTAATTTACGTTTCTCGCCGCTTTGCCCCGATTGGCGGGCGATTTATTGGAACGGCGAGTCACTTTTTGGCTACATGCTCGGTGTAGTGAGTAGTTCGGGGACAAATGCACTTAAATGTGATTTAGTCGATTCAGGGAGTGGATTTTCATCAAAATTTGATCAATGTAAAACTTTCTTATTGAATATCTGTCAGACGCAGCCTATTCAAAGCTGTTGGAAATGAACACTTTCAAATTTTCAAATCGATGGAAAGTGTGGAGGTATTTTAAATCTCCTGTATATGAATGTTGGGATTGATAACATACACAGTACAAGCGTATGCGGAGTAAACATAAATGATATGAATACATATATTTCCAGCTTTGTTGTGACATTACACACACCGGCATTCACGGATGAAGTGTGCGTGTGGCCGGACGCACTCTGGTTGAATGTGGTTGACCTCAGCAGGGTCAACTCTCATCTATATAGAGCGCTGTGTCTTGCACGCCGGACCATCCCATATATGGACTAATGTACCTGTGTTCAGCCCCCCTCCCAGGAATGTGAAGAGCGAGTCCGTGTTCACACTGAAGCAGCATTGTTGCATGATTGAGCTTATTGAAAGGAAATATCCCCCCCATCTCTCCGCAGGCGGGTCCACGCGTGTTGCCGTTGCCGACGCTGTGACTTCACGGCACCCGATTCGTCGGCCCTCCTCGACCATTTTAACTCGGCCCACTGCCACGAATCCTCTCCCTCTCTAAGCGCATTGACAACGACCTCCTTACCCTCCTCGCTGACTCCTCCGTTAACGCTCGCGGCCAACGGCTGCTCGGCTCCCTCTACCTTGGCCATCAAGGAAGAAAGCAAGGGGGACCTTCGCCTCCTCTACTCCCTCGCACCACCTGAGGGACGGTTGGCCGAAGGGGGCAGAGAGGAGGCCGGCAGGGTGGTGAAGAGTGAGGGAGGAGAGGAGAAAGAGAGAGAGCGGGAGAAAGGCTGGGTGCTTGGGGAGACGAGAGGATTAGGGGAAAGAGGAGGTGAGCAGGCCCACGGCCTACTCTGGGTGCCCAAGGAGCGAATGGGACCCGAAAGAGAAGTAGAAAGAGGATCAGGAGGAGGGAGTCCCTCTCTTTTCTCCTCCCCCCTCTCTTTGTCGTTTGTTTCAGCCAATCACGAGGCCTCGCAGCAGAAAAGAGCCGTGACTTCGCCCAGCATGGTTTACCTGGGAGACACCAAGTCCTTTTTGGGAGATACCAAGTCCTTTTTGGGAGATGCCAGGTTGTATGGAGCAGGGAGGCCAGGAGGAGCCATCGCAGGCGGAGGGGAGAAACCGAGCCGGATGTCTCAGCAGTACACAGGAGGAGGAGGAGGAGGAGGAGGGAGTGGCGGCGGCGGTGGAGGACAGGAGAAGGGAGGAGCTGCTAAAGAGGAGTCCCAGTCCCTTCTACGGGTAAGTTGTGCACACCCTCCTCACCCCCTCCTACTCCTCCCATTCCATGCCTCTGTCTTACATTCACCTCATTCTTTCATTCAGCCTAATCTGTCCCCTTTGTCTCATTAACACGCTGATTTGAGCTTCTAGCTGCGACTGTCTGATTGAGGGCGGATCTCTATTCCCAGATTCTACCTGCTGAGAGCATTAGTTTTGCGACGGCTTCCATTATTACGCCTTCATCTTCATTTCCTTTGAATCAGATGTGAGGATTAAACCTCATGCAGAGGGGCGCTTCAATGACACCAGTAATTCATCAGTCATTTGAAGTGCTCATGCAGATTGTCATTTGCTAGAAAAGCAGCGCTCCCGTGCATGCGAGTGTTCAGATCTCTGCGCTCTTGTCCATGTGCTTGTGATTCCATGACATCATGTCCTTTCCAATAAGTCGCATTTGTCGCCCTTTAAAATTAGATTTGAACTCGCAACGCGGAGAAACTGGCCTGTTGCTACAGCAACGGGGAGGCAAACTGACAGTTACCATGGCTGCCAGCTGTCAATCACTTCCGTCATCCTACTTTTCAGGCCACTATGCTTCTCACTTCACAGTGATGTCATGGACCAGACTGGTTTGCCAGTGCTGCACAGCTTATTAGCTATGATCACATTAGATTGGAATAGACTGAACCGTGTGTGTGTGTGTGTGTGTGTGTGTGTGTGTGTGTGTGTGTGTGTGTGTGTGTGTGTGTGTGTGTGTGTGTGTGTGTGTGTGTGTGTCTGCGTGGTTTCAGTGCACTCACATGCTTCTAAGTAAGTGGCAGTAATGAGTGTGAAGGAGTTTTCATGAGTTTAGTGTGTGAGCTGTTGAGTGTATGGCGTGTGTGTGTGTGTGTGTGTGTGTGTGTGTGTGTGTGTGAGGTGTTGGCAGTCACTTGGCAGACTGCGCTGGGTGGGGCAGCAAGAGGTTTACTCATTATCGTGGGTGGGGCAGTGTGTGTCTGTGAGAGAGTCCATGTGTGTGAGAAGAAGGGAGGATAAGGAGATGAAGAGGAGAAGTCATGGAGAGATTTTACATCCAGCTTTCCCTTTTCTCGGATAAGAAGCACAGGCGTAAGATACAAAATAAAGCAAAAGGACATATTTCACTTTCCAGCGTTCTCCTTTGGTTCGCTCTGTAGCGGCTGGCTCTAAACTTGGTTGTATGAAGGCAATTATTACGCTTCAACCCAAACTCAGTTGGAGTAAATATTATCATCGGGGATCCCCAGCTGAGTTACTCATACAGTTGCGCCGACTGCACGTGAGAACATCTGCATACACAGGCACCAAATGTTTTATTCACTTTTTGGGGTTATTCCAGAGCATTGAGGAGTAAATGTGCTCGCTGAAAGAGAGAACCAAAATATAATAAAAGTGATGTGGAAAATACAAAAGAGGAGGCGTGGGAGGGAGCGATTTAAAAATGTATTAGAGAAGCTGAAGATGACTTATTACCGTATTTTGCGCACGAAAAGACGCACCGCATCAAAAGGCGCACCTTCAATAAATGACGTATTTTAATTATTTTTACATATATAAGGCGCATCGCATCATAAGGCGCACCTTTAATAAAACGCTTCGCATAAGGCGCTAAAGTAGAGGCTGGAGTTACGGTGCGTTATGCATCCATTAGATGCATAACGCATCCATTAGATCAGGGGTCGGGGACTTATGGCTCGCGAGTCACATGTGGCTCTTTTGACGACTGCATCTGGCTCTCAGATAAATCTTAACTTATATTCCTTAACACGATATGTAAGAAATAATTCCGCTGGAAATCACAGTGTTAAAATAACGATCACACTGTAACTTAGAGCTTTAGCTGCTTGGGCTGTTTCCGCAGAGATTTTGACTCTTACAAAGATCATCGCTGTATGAAACGATGCCACACTCTGTGATATTTCCTGACAATAGAACGCTAGTCACGCACAGAGAGAGAGAGAGTGTGTGACATCCTCACTGCAGAAAGGATCTGTGTTCACACAGACACAACAGCGCTGAACCAAACAGGTGACAGCGTCTTAGCAGAAGTGGAGCGCATTTCACTTTTCCTGCGTTTTACTCGTTTTTAATTAATTAAGTGCAAATAAATCTTGTGCTTATCAACGATTAGCGCCAATTTGTGATTTCAATAAATATACTTAAAATATTTTGGTCCTGTGGTGTGCCTCGTGTGTGCCTGACTGATGGATGCGTTATGCATCTAATGATTAGCAGTCAGATAGGTCAGTCAAACTTTATTAACAAGAAAACAAAACAACAAAGCAACAAGCAACAAGAACAATAATAACTCTGTAAACGTAAAGCTCACTTTCTCAGTTCCTTATCTAAAATCCCTCGAAAACTTCTTCTTCCGTGTCCGAATTGAACAGCTGGGCTATTGCGGCATCCAAAACGCCTGGCTCCGTCTTATCAAAGTCATCATTAACCGAGTCAGTGTCGCTGCTGTTGTCTGGCAGTTCGGTGACAATTCCTGCCTTCCTAAAAGCTCGGACCACAGTTGTGACTGATATACCAGCCCAGGCATTTACTATCCACTTGCAGATATTAGCATATGTCGTCCGGCGCTGTCTCCCCGTCTTGGTGAACGTGTGTTCGCCTTCGGTCATCCACTGCTCCCACGCAGTTCGCAGTCGAGCTTTGAATGCTCTGTTGACGCCAACATCGAGCGGCTGGAGTTCTTTTGTTAATCCACCCGGAATGACGGCGAGCACTGAATTAGTGTGCTTCACTTGTTTTTTGACATGCTCGGTGATATGTGCGCGCATGGAGTCATAGATCAATAGGGACGGAGCTGTGTGAAAAAAACCACCCGGTCTCTTCACATAAATTTCTCTCAACCACTCACTCATCTTTTCTTCATCCATCCATCCCTTCGAGTTAGCTTTTATGACAATGCCAGCTGGAAAGTTTTCTTTCGGCAAGGTCTTCCTCTTGAAAATAACCATGGGTGGAAGTTTGTGGCCATTAGCCTGGCAGGCGAGAACTACAGTGAAGGACGTTTTCTCATTCCCTGTGGTGCGAATATTCACCGTACGTGCTCCTGTTTTATCCACAGTGCGGTTTACAGGGATATCGAAGGTGAGTGGAACCTCGTCCATATTGATGATATGCTCTGGCTGGATCTTTTTTTCAGTTATCTTGTTTCTGCAGTATGTGCGGAAAGTGGCCAACTTTTCCTGATAATCAGCTGGTAGTTGTTGTGACACAGTAGTGCGCGTACGGATGGAGAGATGACGTCGTTTCATAAAACGGAAGCACCAAGAAGGACCGCCTCTGAATTCACTGATGTTATGTTCGCGAGCTAGCGCTATTGCCTTCATACGAATTGTGACTGTACTAACACTTCTGCTTGCTGCTCTTTGTTCAGCAACCCACTGTTCAACTTTGTCCTCTAACTGTGGCCATCTCGCTTTGTTCCCGCGGAAACTCTGTGTTGTCTTCTTTACTTGGCGGAGCTCATCCTCATACTTCCTCCACTTCCTCACCATTGATTCATTGATATTAAATTCTCTCGCTGCTGCTCTATTGCCGTGTTCTTGTGCGTGGCTTATCGCCTTGAGTTTAAACTCAGCGTTGTACGCGTGTCTTTTGGTAGGAGCCATTTCAGGGTATTTACAAAAATATTAAAATGGAAATGAAACGCCAGTTTCCCGGTATCCCAGCATGCACTGCGCACTATTACGGGAGAAAATCGAGTCGCGGCTGCTTACCGTAACTGAGACCTGTATGCGTTTTAATACTGGGCCATATACAAGGCGCATTGTATTATTAGGCGCATGATCAGCTTTTGAAACGATTGAAGGCGTTTAGGTGCGCCTAATCGTGCGGAAAATACGGTACTTCAATGGCTCGGTATTATATGACCTTTGCTACTATCTGTCTCCCTCTCCCTCCTCTCACTACACAATATTTATTCTCTGTTTCCATGGCATGCTCAGACATGTCCAAAACACACACACACACACGTGATGACTCATCAATGGGCTTAGTGTGGGAGGGACACTATCATCTCAAATAGCTGAGTACACACACACACGCACACGTATATTGACACATGCAGGCGTTTTGTCCAATACAATGTGTCATTTTGACGTAACAGGGCCCAGTCTTTCTTACAAAAAGGTGAATCCAGCCAAAATGCAAATTGACTCTTTGCAAATGTCATGTGATAAGTAGGGAGCGAGTAGGAAGTAGGGCTGAATGGAGAGCAATGAAGGGAGGATGTTGGGAGGGTGAGACAGCAGGGGGCAAAGAATTACAGAGACAAAAGTCCTATTTCATTCAAAAACTTGTGTGTGTGTGTTTCTTTTCTTATGCACTTGTGTGTGTCTCCCGAATCTCCACCTGTTCTTTCTTTTTCACCCCACCATCGATCCATCTCTCCCCTTCATTTCTTCATTCTTTTTCTTTCTTTCTTTCATTTGCCTCCTTTTCCTCAAAGGACAAGTCACCTGATGCACAGGGATCGATACACACCTCGACAAACACACACACGCAATCAGAGTTCTTAGTATTCTTCAGCGTTTTGCTCGGCAGACAGATGAGAATATTTTCTTTTGAAAGGCTTGATCTGTAATTGTTGCACCGTGTTTCCTTGTTGAGACATTGTCCAGCTATATGATTAGTTTTCAAAGTGATTTATTACATTGCAGACATTTTCTCAGGCTGATTTTATTCCTCTGACATCTTGACTGACTATATGAGGCAAGGATGGAAAGCTTATGAGGTTCAGAGATGAAATTAAAGTAAAAGCTTCGGTTAGCGTTTCAGTTCATAAATGGAATGAGACAGCCTTTGAGTAATGGTGTTTTTTTCGAGTTCAGCGGGGCTGAGAAAGGTCCGCCTCTGAGCCAAACATATGCGAACACGTGAAGATACGCAAACACATGTGGAATCGACCCGAAACTGGGATCATTTAATAAATTCCAGACTGCGCTTTCAAAGGGAATTCCATGTCAAGGACAGCAGGGGAGAGG